GCGCAGGCAAGTAGGAACTAACCTGCTCCACAAAGACGAATGGTTTAGTGAACATTCCGCCCAGAGTGCCGCTGCCTGGCCCACTGAAGTTCGACGGAGGTACGTGGCTTCTTATAGCCGTTGGAAGGCCTGAGGTTGCTGACGTCACCGATGTTCGCGCATGCGTCGGAGTCGGGACTAAGGAAAGGACGGCTTCTTCGATAAGACAACGGCGACCACGCAGTGGAATCTCGATACCGTGAAGATCCTTCCAGTCATGTCATGGGTCTGTCAAAACGTATTCACATTCAGCAGCTTCCGTTCCGAAGATGGTCGCCACAACCTGCACCACAAAGACGAATGGTTTGGTGAGCATTCCGCCCAGAGTGCCGCTGCCTGGCCCACTTGTCTTGTCTCACTCGACTTCCCACATTCATGACTTGTCTCACTCAATAATTTCCAAACATGATTCCTGCCCAAAAAGAAAGTCTGAGCTTTACTACAAAAAAATTGCGTGTTCAATGTACGTGCAGCCTGCCCACAGAGTGGCAAGAGAAAAAAAAACACAAAGAAACAAACACACACACACGCACAAACTAGTAAATACCTGGTGAATGACCCCCGGAAAAGCCGTACATTGTAATAAGTGCTACAAAGATTTTAACAGATGCCTTAATAATTATAAGGCAATCTCGAAAAATGCCAAACCACTTATCTGCGCAGTCGATCGGGAGCGCTCAAAAAACGCGTCCATCTACGGTGCTAGTCCGAACTAGACTCCGTATAACGATTGCGTATAAACATATAAACGATTGCGTGTGCCCCCACGCGGCTCCTCCTCGGAGGCTTCAGTGCGCTCCGTAGGCGCCGCTTGCCGCTCATCACACTTCCCTATTCTAGCCCCTGTATCCGTGTGTCCGATGGGGAGCTTTTTCTCTAGAGTCTGTATACTAACTCTATGCCCGCCCATGTATAGAAGTGAAGTCGTGTCGGCCATCTGGCTCAGGGCAGAAGGAGGCGGTGCCTGCCTTGTAGTGCTGTAATGCTCTGGGCAGGTGTCTCCTCTATTTTTTCAGTGCCCGGGCGAAGGAGCGGATTTCAATGGGAAGTGGCCATCACTGATAGTGCGGCGTTTCGCCGCCAGGTGCCGCAACTAGAGTAGAGATTCCACTGCGTTGTCTCTCGAGCAACGAATGCCGCTGCTGCATTAGGGGCTGCTATATGGCTATGTTTTCAGCTGTATTCGCATTGTTTAAGATGTTAGAGAAACTTGGAAACGAGAATCGTGAAACGCTTGTTGTTTTGGACACCCAGCTCATTTCAAAGGCATGTGTCGTTCAAAGGTATGTGTCGTCTGCTAGGCCGATAGATAGCTCATTCTAATAACCCGCGAAAGATCCTTTTGTTACCGTGGCGTTCGCTTGACTGAGAGTTGCTTTTTTGACTAACTGAAAGTTAATTTTGAGAGAAGCCTTTGCCAGGAGCTAATAATAAAAGCTTGAGTGTCTAATATTCCACGGTACTTGCTACTCTCTAGTGGCGTAGCACATTATGCGCAAGCCTGGAGTTCATGCACTAAATTGCGCTAAATGCCACTAGACTGCTTCAAGGGATATAGGTCGTCATCCGTTCCCTTCGCAAAACATAACGTGTTACCACCGAGAAAAAGCAATTGTCAGAAAATGAGGAACTACGACAGGTGATTTCACCATTTGAGAGCTTAAACATGGAAATCATTGTGAAATAAAAACAGGTCCATATGCGGCGTGATTTCTGTGATCATGGTCTATGTTTTTAACAGGTGCTGTTGAAAGTCAGAAGTCTAATGCTGACTCTCAACTTTAGACAAGGGGACAGACATGAAAAATGCGGGGTTTTTTCATGTTGCTTGAGCTTGTCTGTGTGTTCGTGGACAGATTGTTGTAGCCTTATATACGGCTTCTCAGCTCTGTTTCTTTCTTCTTCCCTCTCGGCTCCTAATTAGGTAGCGAGCAAAATAGCGGCCGAATGGCAGTGTGGTCCACTGTGGTGCCCATTGGCTCCCATTCAGCTCCGGGGCGTAGTGTTAGCATTGCACACGCCAGAGATCACGAGGCAGCGTTGTTACTCATAAATTCACTGTTTGACCGTTCGGATGCAGTGCACTCCTGTTTAGTGATACCAATTGTCATGTTGCCAAACGTGACGGGTACTCTTCAGCCACCACTACTTATAATATATAAAATGTACGGGTTGTAAATGACGGCTACATATTAGAGTTCTGTACAAGGGTTTATTATAAAACCAATTGTTCTGCCTGATTACTGCAAGCACGCTTCCTCAAACACCAACGGAAGCTGAAATTTCAACGAGCTACAGCCGTACAGGGCATTAAAGCGAGAGCTTTAAATGCCAAATCAAAAGCGAAAATTGATCGCCAGCGGCGTCCGGCGTCTTCTCTCGTCAGCGGCGTGAACACGAGTGATGCAACAAATCATCATTACGTGAAGACGTCATCCTATGAAAATCGCATTCATAAATATTTTTGACGTATCGCAAAGTTACAAAACTTAACGGCATCATATAGCATCTTCGCTTGGTTGAAATGGGCCGATCATGATCGCAGTGCTTAACCAACTGAGGGGCAGAAAGCTAGCCAGCTTTGTCTCCAATCTTTGAGGCAGTAAAAAAGCCATGTTGGGCACTGAAAGATCCCCGAGAGAAGTAAGAAACATTCAGTGCATTGAATAAGAAGAAAACGAGGATAGTTTTTGCCCTTCAGTCGCCTCAGGTGAATCTATAAGGGGACCAGCGAGTTTGTTTTGTTTTTTTTTTGGGGGGGGGGGCAACGACTATGAAAAATGAAAAAAAAATCAGATTTTTTCGTGAGTACGCATAGTGGTACACAGCAATAATACATACTGAGGCATGCAAATAATAAGGTTACAATAGCTTAAAAAAGAAAATAAAACTCGAAAACTATAAAATTCGAACGCATATATCGAACAGGTTGCACGGCCCGACAGTTTGGTAAAAACAGCGTGCCGCTATGTTAGTGTTACTGTTCATCCTCCCTGCATCCGTGAAAGCCGTGAAGAAGCACAAATGCTGATTACCTAGCATGAAAACACGAATTCGTGAGCTTCATAATAGGCGCGGCCGTTCAGCGCCAACATCCCGTTGGATGGATGGATGCATGATATGGCTGTACCCTATAGATCGGGTGGTGGCTAATGCCACCAAGCCGTAATACTTAGTAAACACAAAAACCCGCAGGTCGCAGGTTCAAATCCCGGCTGCAGCGGCTGCATTTCCGATGGAGGCGGAAATATCGTAGGCCCGTGTGCTCAGATTTGGGTGCAGGTTAAAGAACCCCGGGTGGTCGAAATTTCCGGAGCCACACCCCTTCACACCCCTCCACTACGGCCACACCCCTCCACTACCACAACCCTCCACTGCCACACCCCTCCACTACGGCGTCCCTCATAATCATATGGTGGTTTTGGGACGTTAAACCCCACAAATCATCATCATCAATAGTAAAACAAAACCACATTTATTATTTAAGATAGTGAGGTTGAAGACTGGTACTTTGCAGTGAAGGGTTTAATTTCCACTCGTGCCTTGACTTTAGCCACCAATCAAATAACATCCGTCTAGTTAACTCTACCCGCTTAAGGTATATTTTGCCCTCCCTGCCCTAAATTCCAGTGCTTTCGAAACACACTGCGCCATCATCCTGAACTATAGGGTGAAGCCCCTTACAGAAAATAATCAAGTGTTCGGCAGTTTCCTCCTCCTTTCCACACGCACTGCATACCGTGTCTACCTCTTCGTATTTGGCCCGATATGTGTTGCTTCGCAATACTCCCGTACTCGCCTCAAACAGTAGAGAATTATCCCGAGTATTATCATAGATCCTTTCCTTAGCGATTTCCTGCTTCAAAGTTCGATAGATCTCTAGTGCAGACTTCTTAATCATGCCAAATCTCCACATATTCCACTCAGCTTCCTTTACCTTCTTCTAACCGATAAGATTTTTTGGTTTAGCCCCCTGCTGTTTTCTAAGTATGTACTCGTCATTTTTCTGGTTCGCTTCCTCCATTTTGTATCGACATTCTTCATATACAAGTAGCTGAAAACCTTCCTAGCCCAACGCTGCTCCCCCAATTCTCTCAATCGCTTCTCAAATTTTATCTTGCTGCTAGCTTCCCGGCCCTCAAATGATGTCCATCCCATATCACCTTGTACTTCCTGATTTGGTGTATTCCCGTGAGCTCCTAAGGCAAGCCTACCTATTCCACGTTGCTTAATTTCTAATCTTGCTTGAACTTCTGATCTCATGTACAAGACCGCATTGGCGAAAGTCAGACCAGGAACCATGACCCCTTTTCATATTTTTCTCACAACATCATACCTATTGTTATTCCACAGTGCCCTAATCTTCATCACTGCTGCCTTCATGTTACCTTAAGTCGACACGTATACTTCGTGTTCCCTTAGGTACTCGGTCCCATTGCTTATCCATCCCAGATATCTTTATTTATCTGTCATCTCTAGCGTGACCTCCTGTATTTTAAGCTCGCTACCTTTATTATCATTAAAAATCATAACTGCAGATTTTTCCTTACTGCAGTGGACCCTGGTTGGACCTTGGTTACGCAGTGGACCCTGGTGGGAATGCAATTGTGCAATTCATGTTTTTTTTTTTATTTACCGAGGTTTTTTTTTTGTATATAGTGGTTACGTGCGGCGGCGGCAGACTACCACGGCACCGGCATGGCCTGTGTTCTGATCAGTGGCGTAGCCAAGGCGGAAGGTGGAAGGGTTCAACCTGTAGTATCGTAAGGGCGAAGAATAAGACGATGCATGGCCAGAACAAGAAGGAACAATGTTTATTCGCGAGGCTGCTGTCTTGGTTTTAATACCCTGGCCCGAGGCCGGAGCATGCGCCGTGGCGAGGGGTGGAGGCACGTGTTATCGGTATGTTCTTCGGCGCGTGCACCTGATAATCTACGATATATCACTTCCTCCCCTCTGAGCTAAAACCTATCCGGCGGCTTGCGGGCACGGGTGGAGCGTCGGAGTGGGAGTGGTTCTGCCGTGGACCTTGGACTTGCTGGCTCGATGCCACCGCCAGACGCTTCCTCACCAGGCTCGGACAGACCGGCCTGAAGGGCTTCGCTGCTAGTTGACTGGATGCCGCTGGATGAGAGTGGCAATTGCTCCATGGCCATTGGCGTTTCGCACGGTTCTTTCTTAACCGGTGTCGACGAGTCGCGTGGTCGTACTTGATCGACGTGTCTACGTTGCACCCCCCTTGGCGTGTTAACGGTTAACAATCGCTTGCCTTCGACTGTTGTCACGGTTCCGGGTAGCCACCTTTGACCTAGCTGACTGTACTGTCGACTCCACACCTCCCTTCCTGGTGCAAACTCTTTTTTTTCCAGAGTTCGGAACTCCGTTGACGGTAGCCTCCCTCTTCGCCCCGTCTTCCTCTGCCAGGTAGGTGCTCAGGCGGGTCCGTGGTTGGAATCCAAAAAGCCTTTCCGCGGGCGACTGCTCCTCTCGGGTCGGTGTTGTCCTGTAACGCAACAAAAATTTGGCAAGCCGACTTTGCAGCGTTCCCACCCGATTTTTCTTCAGGCCCTCCTTGATGGTGCGTACTGCCCGTTCCGCCAAACCGTTGGATTGCGGGTAGTATGGGGCCGTCGTTACGTGGCGCACCCCATTTTCCCGGAAGAACCGCGCTGTCTCTTCACTGGTGAATTGGGGACCATTATCCGACACGACAGTCCGTGGTATGCCAAATCGCGCGAAAATGCACCTAAGTGTGTCTACCATAGTCGCTGCTGTCGCCGTCTTCAAGGGCACTGCTTCGATTCACTTAGTCTCGGCGTCGACGAGGACGAAGATTATATGCCCTTCCACGGGACCAGAAAAATCCACGTGTAGGCGGTACCACCGTCTGTTGTTCTTTGGCCAGTTTGCCGGGACCTGCGCTGGGGGCATGGGCAAACACTGCACGCATTGGGGACACCGTTTTGCAAGCATTTCAATTTCACCGTCTAGCCCTGGGTACCAGAAAATTGAGCGCGCGAGGTTCTTCATTGCCGTCATGCCTGGGTGCGTATCGTGCAACTCTTTCAAAACAAATTGCCGGGCAGCTTTAGGCAGAACCACACGGTGGCCCCAGTAGAGTATCCCGTTACTCACGGCCAATTCATGCCTCCGTGCAAAATACGGTTGATACTGCTGTTCCTCTGAACCGAGACGCCTTGGCCAGCCTTGCAAGATCCAAGTCTTCACTTGCTGAAATACGTCATCTTTGCTGGTGTGGTCTGAAATACTCTGCGCAGACAAAACAAAATCATCCATAGCCTGCGCATGCAGGACATATTCGGCTAGTTCATTTTCCCAGCCATTATCGCGAACCGGTAATGGCAACCGGCTTAGAGCGTCGGCATTTGCATTTAGCTCTCCTTTTCTGTATTCCAAGTCGTATTGATAAGCTGCTAAGAGCAGCGCCCAACGTCGAATGCGGGCCGCTGCCATTTGCGGAATGGGTTTATCTGGACCTAGCAAACCAGTCAGAGGCTTGTGATCGGTCACCAGAGTGAACTTGTTGCCAAACAAATAATCTCGAAATTTCACAACGCCGAAGACCAGCGCTAGTGCCTCCTTTTCCAATTGTGAATAATTACGTTCCGCCGACGTTAGAGTTCTCGAGCGGAACGCTACGGGATGATCCACTCCTTGTATGCGGTGCGACAAAACTGCGCCTATACCCTCGGCCGACGCATCACACTCAAGCCGCAAGGGTCTTTGGGGGTCGTAATGCACAAGAAAGTTCGCCCTTCTCATGGCGCGCTTGGTTTCTTGGAATGCTGTTCTCTGTGCGGGCCCCCAACACCACAGTGCTCCTTTAGACAAGAGTCGGTGTAACGGGGCCAAAGTGGACGACAAGTTCGGTAGAAATTTGGAATAGTATGTGACCAGTCCTAAGAATGATTTAAGCTGGCTTACCGAAGTCGGTGGCGGTGCCGCTAGCACTGCTTCCAAATTGTCCTGCAGTGGGTGGAGGCCTTTTGCATCGATTCGGTGCCCTAGAAATACCACTTCTTTCTCCCGGAAGTGGCACTTCTCCTTGTTCAGTGTTAGGCCGTTCGCCCGAAGTCGTTTGAACACTTGCCGCAGTATCGTTGTGTCATACTCTTTTTCTGCTACAATAATGTCGTCCAGGTAAACTTTCACCCCTGGTATACCCTGCAGCACGGCTTCTATGCGCCGCTGAAACAGCGCAGGCGCTGAGGCAATGCCAAAAGCCAAGCGGTTGTAGCAGAAGAGGCCTTTGTGTGTATTCAACACAGTTATCTTCTTAGCATCATCATCCAGGGGAAGCTGGTTGTATGCGTTTCGTAAGTCGAGTGTGCTGAACACTTCGCCTCCTGATAGCGCCGCAAAGGTGTCGTCAATTTTCGGAAGCGGGTACTGCTCTGTTCTTGTCGCTGGATTAACTGTTAGCTTAAAGTCCCCACACAGCCGGATGTCTCCGTTCTTCTTTACTACGGGCACGACCGGTGTTGCCCATTCAGCCACGCTCACTGGGGACAGCACGCCCACTTCCACCAGTCGGTCAATTTCGGCGGAGACTTGCGCTCTCATGGCATACGGGACTGTCCGAGCCTTCAGAAATCGAAGTTGCGCACTTTCCTTGAGGTACAGCTTCACCGGTGGTCCCTTACAGCATCCGAGGTTCTCAAAGAGGTCCGGAAACTCGTCAAGAAGTGCGGTTAGCTGGCTGTCAGCGTGAACAACATTCACCGAAGACGACGTGCCTTCTACTAGCAACATGCCTGCTTTGCGAAATTCCTCTATCGTGTCCCTTCCGCACAAAAGGGGCCCTCGATGGTCCACTACTATCAGCGAACTGCTCACCGTTACTGGTCCAAGCTGTACCTGCATGTCTACCTTGCCAACGACCGGCAACGGTCCCAGGAAACATGAAAGGCGTAGTGGAGTTTTTTGCAGAGCCGGCCACCACTTGCGATGCTTCTTGTACAAGCTTTTGGGAATCACGCTTACTGGTGATCCAGTATCGACAATCATTCGCAGCCTACGGCCTTCCCACGTTAAGGTGCGCTCGATTGGCTGCACCAAGTGCTTATTGGCGGAACTGTGTGCAACGAGAGCATACAACCTCTCTGCTTCACTTTCACATTTGGTTCCATCGACAGCGAACGTTCCTGACCTGGGGGTGTGGGGTCTTTTGCAAGCTCTCGCAAGATGCCCTCTTTTACCACATTGATGGCATATGGATCTGCGATGTCGACAGGACGCCGTTGCATGCGCCCCTTTGCATCTGTCGCATGAAAGGCTGCAATTCTTCCTCCACTGTCTGCCTTGTTGCTGTATCACGTTGACGCCGCCACCTTCGGTCCGGGCGTATGAAGTACGCATGCCCCGAGCGTCTTCGTTCGTTTTCTCAGAAGATAAGGCGAATTCTTCGGCTTCTTCACGAGTCAAGTTCTTGCGGCCCAGCAGGCACCGGCGCGTTTCCTCATCCCGAATCCCACAAACGATTCGGTACCGCAACATACGGTCCAGTGTCGCCCCAAAATTACAATTTACGGCCAGTCTTCTCAGTTCAGCAATGTAGTCCCGGACGCTTTCTTGCTCATCTTGTTTTCGCATAAAGAAAGAATAGCTTGCTGCTATTTCGTTTGCCTGAGGGTTGAAATGTTCTTCCAAGCATTTCACAACGTCATCGTACGTCAAGGAGTTGATGGCGACCCCCGGCTGGTGCCCTTGCAATATCCGGACGACACTGTCGCTCAACGATGAAACCAGTAGGGCCCGGCGTTTCGCTACGTCGGTAATATCGTTGCCCTCAAAGTAGGCTTCCAACCGGACACGATACGTGCTCCAGCTACTCACGGCGTCGTCGAAAGCAGGGGGTCAGGATCCCATTCTTCTGGTCTCAGCGTCGGAGTGCAATTAACCGGATCCCATCCTCGTCGCCACTGTAGTATCGTAAGGGCGAAGAATAAGACGATGCATGGCCAGAACAAGAAGGAACAATGTTTATTCGCGAGGCTGCTGTCTTGGTTTTAATACCCTGGCCCGAGGCCGGAGCATGCGCCGTGGCGAGGGGTGGAGGCACGTGTTATCGGTATGTTCTTCGGCGCGTGCACCTGATAATCTACGATATATCACAACCCACCCCCTCAAATTTTTTCGCGCGTACCCCCCTCCCTTTCCCGGCCACCTACCACCTTTTTTTTTCATTGCTCCACGCTGACGTGACCCGGTGTTACTATCTATCACAATGTCGTTCCTGGGTGCTTTTTGCAGTGAATAATGCGTGCACACGGGAAAACGTGTCGCGGTGTTTGTCAAGGCTTTGGCATTCTGAGATTTTGGGCAAGAATCTCGGCAGTGAGCGTCATAAGTTGGATTGGCGACGGGATTGATGCTGCAGCGATGGTCATACGTGTACCCGCCGGAACAGATCTCGCCAGAGTCGATCACTACGATAATTTTTGTCAGGCAGATGTCTGTTTTATTGGTAAAACATCAAACACAGTTCCAACGTCCAATAAGGCACCTTCAAGCATAATGGAGTGTAACTCTTCTTACGTGTGCAAAGATATACTCAAGCCAGAGAAGAACATTTTTATTGAACCATTGCTAGTTCCGCTAACATTTGAACACACACACACGAACACACACGCTCACACGCACGTACACACGCGGGACAGAATATTGGGCTTATCGACCGAACTTCGCTTGTATGCGAGTGTACAATATATTGGTACATATCTTTACTATGCCCTAAATGCTAAAGGCACTCCGAAACGTTGTCAACTGACTAAGGTGCAACACAGGCATACGTGCAGGCCAATCACAGGCGTAGAAAGACCTGCTAACATACTCATCGTGTAAGTGAAGCTGATTAATGAAAAGTTGGTGCTCATAAACGTAGAACAGTAATGCAGATAGGGCAGCTGTAGTGAGCACAAGTTTTATTGTTCAGCAGTGTGGCAAACAGCGCAAGAATAAGGAACGTGTAGCTGAAAATCGTGCGATGAAATTAAAATATTTATACTGATTCGCTTCATCTGTTCGTCCCTTTACATTTATTGGCATGACCGGAAGGGCACACAGAGAGATGTCTGCAAATAGCGACAATGCACAAAAACAAATGTGCAGTATGAAGAACATGGGTGGACGTGGACATGTTATCATGTAAAGTTCAGAACAATATACAGAGTAACTATAATTTTTAGAAGAATTGAAATAAATTGTGCAAGCAATGTTTCAAGCTGCAGAGAGACATATGGGACATCGGAATACTGTTGATTGTCTCTTTATATTGACAGGAAGCTTATCCCGCGCATTACATGTCATATTATATGCCAGATGCGTTCTAAAATGTACGAGAATAGTTACATGCAAACTTGCGTAGTTGCATTGCCGTTCACACCTTTCGTATTCGCGAACCACGTCTGCAAGTGAAAGGTGCCAGCGGAAAGCAAAGCAGTCGGCAACGGGAGAGAACAGAATCACTGTTTCAAGGTGTGAAAGTGATTTTCACCAATATATCTCAATAAGTTGAACTTGCGCTCTTTCAGCTGGACGAAAAGAGCGCATAATGGTTTTACGAAAACCATCTTTTTTGCTACCCGTCACGGTGCTCCAGTAATTATTCTGACCCGAAGGTTGCGGAATCAAATACCTGTTCTATTTTAGTTGCAGCTGAAAATTCTCGAGGCCAGTGCACTTTGATTTGCGTGCACGTTAAAGACCCAAAATGATAACATTTTCGGAGCGCCCCACTACGA